TCACGCCGATTCTCGGCATTGATTCGATCCAGTCTCTCGGTTTTGTTGTTTTTAATCATGATCGTTTTGTGCATGTTTGCCAGGGAGAAACCGATATTAGTGACCAGTATCCGTCTGTGTTTAGCCCAGGTTTGGGAAAGTTTGAGGGAACCGCTCACTTGTCCTTTGATACGACCGACAGCGCTACCTGCTAGGAGAGTTCCATTTGCACTGCGTGACAGGTTCTCCGCTGAATTGAGCAAATTAGTGAGAGAGGGTGTGATTGCCAAAGTCGACGAGCCAACCGACTGGGTTAGTCAGGTCGCAATCATTACGAAGAAGATGGGCGAACTGCGTGTGTGTATTGACCCAAAACCGTTGAATGAGGCCTTGCGTAGAGAGCATTATGCGCTACCTACCCTAGAAGACATTTTGCCGCGTTTGGCCAAAGCTAGTGTTTCACGAAGGTAGACCTCTCTTCGGCATTCTGGCACGTGGTTCTAGATGATGAATCCAGTTTCCTTACTACCTTTGCAACACCGTTCGGGCGTTATCGTTGGCTGCGTTTACCGTTTGGCTTGAAGGTGTCGAGTGAAATTTTTCAAAAGCGATTGGTGCAAGCGGTAGACGATTTAGATGGTGTAACATGCGTGGCAGACGATGTTTTGATCTATGGCTCGACAGAAGAAGAGCATGACGCTAATCTCCACCGTTTCTTACAGCGTTGTGTGCAAAAGAACATCAAGCTTAAACGTGAAAAATTGAACTTCGGAAAGACGAGGTGATTTTCCATGGGCATTTGCTAACAACACAAGGGGTCAGGGTCGATCCAGGAAAAATTAAGGCAATTCGAGAGATGCCGCCTCCTAATGACGTGAAGGGAATCCATCGCTTAAACGGTATGGTGAATTACTTGAGCCGTTTTATGCCAAGACTCGCTGATATCATGATGCCGATCAGGAAGTTAACTCACAAAGGAGTAAAGTGGAGTTGGGGAAAAGAACAGGAAACCGCATTCGAAACTATTAAGCACCTCATCAGCAACGCGCCTGTACTCAGGTATTACGATCCAGCGCAGCCTTTGGAGGTACAGTGTGACAGTAGCCAAGACGGAATAGGTGCTGTTCTCTTACAGAATGGAAAACCTTTGGATTTCCGCAGTCGAGCACTCACCGTGACCGAGCAGCGCTATGCGCAGATTGAGAAGGAGATGCTTGCGGTAGTCTATGCCATGGAGCGTTTCAACGATTATACTTTCGGAAGAAAGACAACTGTGTATACCGACTACAAACCGCTTGTGTCAATAGCCAGGAAACCGCTGCACGTCGTTCCTCGTCGCCTTCAGCGTATGCTTATCCGGCTTCAAAAGTACGACGTGAATATTGTGTATACGCCTGGTGCACAGATGTTCATCGCGGATACGCTGTCAAGAGCTCATCTGCCGGTACCCGAGCATAATCCGGAAGAGGTCGAAGCAGTAAACTTAGTACAGCACCTGGCAGTGACAGAAGATCGCCTAAAGGAAATAAGGCGCCACACAGAGGAAGATGCAACGCCTTCAGCTTTGCGAGACGTTATTCTAAATGGGTGGCCAGAGACAAAGCAGCTACCGAAGGAACTAACACCCTACTTCAATTTTCGAGATGAGCTCTCTGTCTTTGATGGTTTGCTGTTCAATGGAAGCCGTATTCTGATTCCGTCACCGCTCCGAGGAGAAATGCTGAAATACGCTCATCGCACTCACCTTGGTACCAACTATACCATTAACCGAGCAAGAGAATTGCTCTTTTGGCCACGAATGACGGGTCAACTAGGATCACGTATTGAAATGTGAGGCGTGCTGTTCACACGAAATCAGGCAGACGAGGGAACCAATGATGCTGCATGATGTCTCTGATCGACCGTGGCAGAAGGTGGCGGTGGATTTATTCAGTGATAACGGGAAAGATTACTTACTCACGGTGGATTACTATAGTGATTATTTTGAAATCGATCTACTCCCCACTACGACCACAGAGGCAGTAATTAACAAGCTCAGATGTCAGTTCGCGCGGCACGGTATACCGGAGGAGCTGGTCTCCGACAATGGGCCCCAGTTTACCAGCGGTGCGTTCCAGGCGTTCGCAACCAAGTGAGAATTCGTGTACCAGAAAAACCAGCCCATGGCACAAGCAATCGGATGGAAAGCCGGAGTCAGCAGTGAAGCAGGCCAAGTGATTGTTATCAAAGGCTAGAACAACTGGCGAAGACCCGTATCTCATGCTACTGGGGAATCGCAACACTCCTTCAAGGAATATCGGTTTGAGCCCAGTGCAGCGCCTATACAGCCGACGGATTAGAACTCTGATACCGGCACCTACCACACTTTTGCGGCCAGTTTCACCACAGCAAGAGCGATTGCAGGACAATCTGAGACGACGAATGACCACTCAGAAACAGTATTATGACCTTGGTGTACGTGTACTACCTGAGCTAACAGTGGAGGAGGAAGTGTGGGTTCAACCATAACCCGAAAGTCAAGAGCGGTGAAAGAAAGGTGTGATGACTGCGAGGGTCGGTGCCAGGTCATACGAAATAAAGGTTGGAGGGAAAACGTTCAGAAGAAATCGAGTGTATTTGAGACGACACCGGAGACAACAATGTGGACTGGGAGTGGAGTAGGGGATGGCGTGGGGCAAGAAGACCACGGCCGCAGATACAGCGAAGACGACGCGGAGTGGCAAGGTGTACGGGGTAGATAGCAATATGGAGGCGCAAGAACACGAAAAAAGGGAGGATGTGATGGTAGTATCAGATAAGAGTGAGCAGACGGATCAACCGAGCGAGCCAGATAGTCAATGGGAGACAGGCGTGACGGATTCGATTACTGGACTCGGATTGGCCGATATTCGTGAGTGATTCACCGTTTGTTTAACTGAAGCAAAGGAGGAACCTCATCGACTCAGAAGGGTCGTTAGTTATGGACTTGAACCTGCAATTTATATCGAGGAGTTTGGCTTGCTAAACATGTTGTAATTTTCACCGAGCTGTCTTAGTCGAATAAACGATTGCCCCTGAAGAACTGAGTTCTGCAACAAGACACACCTCAACTAAGGTGCCGCAATACAAAAAAGATAGACAGCGGAAAATAAGGGTAATGTGCTCGAAGGCATTAGAACGCGGAGAGCTAGGACAACAAATTGTGCAGAGTGAAGACAAAAAGGTCAGTAGTAGTTGTCCATCCCATACGGTCGGTGATTGTCAGAAGCTAATAACTGTCCAACCAAACTGTGACGAAATAGACGTGATAAAGAAATCTGATCCTTTGTGGCAAAACAATGACGCTGGCAAATGAATCCGCCACATTCAGGTGCTAGCCTAAAAAAAGTGATTTGCGCGTATCAAACGTGCCCCAAAATGAGGATAAAGAGTGAAAGGATCGTGTGATGCACGAAGTGATGGACATAGTGGACACTAGCGAAGTGCTAAGTCATCGCAACGGCAATCCAACGGTACCAAGATGGTAAAAATAAGAAGTTGTGAGGCTGAACGCCACTCAGTGCGACGTAACCATGCCAGAGCGAAAATCCTGTGAGAACAGCTTCGTCTCGACGAATGTAAAAAGTGACGCAGTGAACCAAGCGATTGCATTGGATCAAGTACTTGCATAGGGCCAGCGGCGCATGTACGGTGTCCCATCAATTCAACCGAGGGAGACTGGAAGGACTGACGTGTACCGGACACTTATCCCCGAATGAATGATCAGATTTGGTTATATCTAGCGTCAGTTGGATCTGTGCGTCTCCCAGGCTGGGGACCAAGTGAAGCGGATTCCCACTAGTTGGAAGTTTTGGAGGATATGGCCTGCAATATGAGTGGGTGGCGTCAATGCTGTTCTACCATCTCTTCATCCTGTGCTTTTTAATGTTGAACAAAACATGAAAACAGAAAAAACGCAAAACGGCGTGTGTGAAACTGAAAAAAAAAACATTTTTCTAGCATTTTTCTCACTCTCTCTCGTTGAATATTACATTCTCCTTTCCATGCCACCATGGTTCGGATGGTTGGCGGCATCCGGTTTCGGATTTGCCTGTCACTGTGGCAAGCCACAGGACGCCTGCGCCTACAGAGGGACCATGGATGGCTTGCGCTGCACCACCCACAGCTCCAACCACATACCCCATATCCAGTGTAAACCCGAAGGAATAAGACCGGGAGGCATGCGGATGGGAACCACGTTTCATCAACGGAGCCGGCCCACACTCCTTCACAGGCAAACACAAACACGATGTATTTGGGGAATCAACCGCACACAAGGCGGTGACTGGACCGTAGTCCGCTCCGCACTGAGTGCATGGAACCGCTCTTAGAGCCTGGCACGGCCACAAGAACCGTGCACCCCGTCCCCTCCAGCAACGACCAACTGTCTCCTGGAGCCAGTATGAACGATGTAGTGGGTAATAGACAGGTAGGCACCTTGTCAACATACACATCAAGCGCAGCCACACCGGGGATATCAAACAACAGCCATTCAATTTAAACGACAAGCTGAAATAAAATAAATCCAATAATGCATACAGATACGGTGGCATAACTCTTCGCTAAATTACCATATGAAGTAAGTTGGTCAGCAACAAATCCGTGATAAGTAAGAAATGTCCACAAGTTACTTAAAATGCTACAAACGCAACAAAATTACCGAAGATAAGCGCAATTAGTGTAAGCAACGTGGCCAGTTAATAGAACATTATTCAGGGAGGCAGAACAAACCAAATAAAGCGGAATGAAATTTAGCCAGCTTAAAAAGACCTAGTTTACGTGTAAGTTGGTTTAGCCCAACTGTGGTGAAGAAGCATCAAGAATGCAACATCAGCCTCAGCATATATATATATACTCTCCGGAACTTCGCACCGCTACCGCGCATGCGGTAGTGCGAATTTAGGCAACTAGGAATCAGTGACCCACGAATGCAGGTAGCTAAAAGTGGTGCCGGACGAACCTACCAAACTCTAGGAAGACAGCTAGTTATCCGTTGTTAGATCAGGAGGTAGAAAGTGGTAGAATTATATCGTATATACAATGTGAAAAGAATCGAAAAACTTGAGCATCGGGTCTGAAAGCGTCATTCGACATTTGGCCGAAGAAGATACAAAAGGAATCCGGGAAAGACAGAAAGTAGCGCAATGGGGTAAGGGAAGAATCCAAAGACAAAAGAAGAAAGCAGGTCAGTTACTGCTATGTTTAGCTGACGCAGTAAGAGTAAGGAATACTTAGTGTGACACAGTAGGAATATTCTGTAAATATATACCCTACTAGAAGTAAGAAACTGTACAATAAAATGCAGATGCGGTTCTGGTAGTTCTAGCCTAGAGATCTCGTGTCTGAGGTCCTGAACCGTTTGTCCGGATTTCGGTATCCGAAAAAGTCGTAGTCATGGGCCTCAACCTGCTTTGATGGTGATGCCGTATTCTGGGGTGAAGTCCAGAGGCGTGAAATGCAATATCTGACGGGAAACGAGTAAAGCTGTGGGATTCGTGCCGAACAGCATCGGAGGAGGAAGACGCTAAGTGTGATACTGAACAAATAGTGGATGGAGGCCGCAGTTCGGAGTGATTTTTCCGTAGCAACGTTCGAGTACAATGAGGAAGGCGGCTGGGAGAATCCAGCTGTGAAGAGTGGAGGGGTTTGAGTGAAATGGCAACATGTGGAGAGCTCGACTGTGGAGTACGTGTTTTTGAAAATATGTGGGTAGGTGTATTACAAACAGGCGCACTGTGCTCGACGACACTTGAATAGGATGGAGGAGGAGAGCGTTCAGTATGACGTCTCGATGTATGGTTTTTCCCAGGAGGGATAGGTGTTAGACCAGTAAAAGCAACCAATGTTAGTAAATTGTGTGCCAACACACGCTGCGAATGCTCACCATTGCGGGAATCAGGCGAGGTACCGCTGAACAAAACTTCGGGAGGTGGTAAAGATCTAAAAATATCATGGTATAAGGCTGAAGTGGATTCATCAAAACTAGACATTCCTGTGACCTCAGATGAAATAGTGAGAGGAGGCTTCTGTGTCACCCGGTTGCATTCACTGGTGCGTTCAGCATCGGAGATAGTGGCAGGACCTGTGTGCGGACTTTTAGAACACTCATTTGTCACCGGTGGCACGGCACAGTTTAAACTTAGAGTAGAGCTCGAATGAGATGGCTCTTCGGAAATCGTGCTCAAACTGGCAGGTCGAGAGCGAACGGAATTGGCCGCAGCAGCCACTGCGGCAACGACGGCGGCAGCCGCAGCTGCGGCAGCTCCAGGAGACTGCTGGCACATGGTTGGTAATTCAAGGAGGCGCCGATTGCAGAGTTCATAAAGCTGTGCATGTGTACATTCTGCTAAAGGTGGCTGGAATGTGGGTCTAAAAATGGGTGTGGATGTGAGCCGAAGCTCAACTGGGCGATCGGTAGTGATTTGGACAGTCACCGGAGATTCAACATTCTGCGTGGGTTGGAGGGATGTGCACTCCGTCTCAAGCGGAGAAACAGATTGGTTGGAAGCAGGAAACAAAGGTGTTGATAAAGAGGTCGTTGAAAAGGATGACTGGGGTAATGGCTCAGCTTTACGTTTTGATGCTGTCGTCTGAGGCAAGCGACCACGTGTGACATCAAACTGAGAAGATTTCGCAGCACGAAGGAGATTCCGATTTTTAACCTGAGTGGGACGTTGACGTGAAACGCTTGAGGATAGAAGAAACTGTAGAGAGAAAGAAGTGGTGAATTGACAGGCAGTGTGCACGTGACAAAAAACTGAAACCAAATGAAGACAGAAAATGTGTGCTGGACAAAAAAACGATTAAATAAACAACCGACTGGAGGGGTGATGAATGAACAGAAGTACAAGTGGATGAATAACGATATTTTATCGGGGAAAAACTCAGCGTAATTGACCAAGGGTCACACAACGTAACAAGCACAACCAGCTCAATTAGCATTTGGCACACTGAGAATCACTCCGCCCTACTCGGTAACACTAGTCACAGAAAACAGAGGGATAAGAGAGTCAAGCAAGAGAGAGCAAGATGGAGTGTGGAGAAGGCTGACTCACCTGGTGGAACGGATGAATAAGGTAGCAAATCGCGGGAATGAGGCAAACTGCATTGAACAGAGAGCAGAAGCTGACCACCAGGAGCAGGAAGAAGAAGTGACTGTGCAAAAGGGTGGAAAGTAAACATCGTTTGGCACATGAACGCTGACGTGGGGGCATGAGCAATAACCAGACCGAAATGAGGTGTATCAAGGAAAATGTGTGGACCAAATTAGGAGTGTAATCTCAGCCCGAGGGAAAGCCGTAGTAGTAGTGGTAGTATAGGCAGCAGTTTCTTGAATAGACAGAGCCAAACAAAACTATGGAAATCACTAGATAAATTTAATCAACGGATCATCATCATGGCACATGAGCTGAAGGTGAGCAATACACTAGCTATTGTACTGCAATAAAAGAAAAAAGGAGCATTTCTTGTTATTTTGCACAGGACATTTCTTGTCTTTTTCAATCGTTAGACATTTAGATCTAAACTATTATATACATAGATGTTCCACCGGTTTCGTTTGCGGGCCATATCCTGAACTGTTCCTAGCCATCGGCACTCTTCGTCTTTTGGTCCCCAACCAACAGTGGTTAGGCGTGATGTCAACTCTATCGCCAGGTGGACGGCTGACAACCAGCCAAGTCCTGCACAAGCGAAAAGAGCGTAGTAGGGTAAACGTTCAGATGACATACGCAGGACGTGACCGATTCATTTAAGATGGCCCGAGGGAGAACTAGTATAAAGCGGATGGGAAGCAAATGGAGCTCACTTCGAAAATACCGCAGTGGTGAAAAAAGATCGACTTCTATTCAAGTGGGGATGGTTGTGTAAAATAGCTGAAGGTCACATTAACCATCCAGCTTATTTCCAGAGGGAAAGGAAAGATAAAGGAAGGTAGGTAGAACCAGCAAATTACTGTTGTCTTGAGCACATTCTCACATAAGCTTTTTAAGGGCAGTTGGATTTTCTGGATGGCTGTGCAGATAGCTCGTAGAACACAGCCATCTAACAGATCGCCGATTTTTGACTTTGTCCGAATTCAACGGGACAACAAAACTGCGTGTTTCGAATGGAATCGTATAGGGGCCAAGGCCAACTGATCTGAAGATAGTACAAACTGTCGAAAACGTAACGTAAACACACCGCGTGATTAGGCATAGATCACACACGGGACGGAGGAAATCTGACAGAGTATTTCTGGAAAGTATAAAAAGGTCATTTACCAAACGTCTGCTAGACAAAACATTCACTGAGAACTATCGGGAGCGCTGCCAACAATTCCAGCTCGATCCGCTTTGGCTACGAAGATTGAGATCTCACTTGATGTTTCTGTCCAACATGATTCACCAAAACGTCCACTGCTATTTGCCCTCCCTAGAACTACAGCACAGTTCGACAAGGAAGCTACGCAATAAGAAGTTTGCCCTGAATGTACCCAGGTGTAGGGTAAATCTACGGTCCAACTGTTTCCTTATCAGATATGCTGTCCTGTAGAATAAGATCCCAGTCACAATCAGATCGGTTGGGAGCGCAACCGTCTTTTGCGTTAAGCTAGCTAGCCGAACAACCACGTCGTGGTGCCAGCTGGGTGGTTCGAGTTTACCCTGTTCCAGCAAATAGGCGGCAGTGTTCCAGGACGTGGTGGGTTTTCGCCTGGCAAGCGTTCTCCCTACAAAAAGCCACGTATGTCTGTTTAACAACACTGTGACGTGGCGGATGTGGCTTACCACTAAATAAAGTCACCCATTGCTTATCCGGACAACCGCTTCAAATCCACAGATAGCAAGCATCCATTTAGCCCTGGCGACACGTTCAAACACATGCAAGTAAAATGGCGGGAAACATTTAACAATCCCATAAACAAAGCTAAACACGCTTACATACATTCATATATAAACATGCGACAATCCCATTGTTCCATTGTACATTAACTGATCACATTTCGTACACTTAACATGATCATGCTTGCGCAGGCGTGCCTCGCTTAGTCGAGAATACACATTTTATTTATTTAATTAATTAACTAGACTTGAACACGAATATGACCCTGTTCTCTTGGGAGAGATCACTTGGTGATTTGTATCAAGAAGGGGCAAACAACATCTAATGAGGAAAAATGTTTTCATACTGTGTGACCTACCCTAGTGCTGTTACCATCCACCATTCCAACTAGTGCACATTGCTTCGAAACGCACCAGTGAGTTAATACGCTTGACACAACAAAAACAATGAAAATCATACAAACGTTTATCATTCATGCATGAGCATGATATATTCTGTAAAACATCGTCTGTGCCAAATATGGACAGTTTCTCACTCGATGAGAAATATACCCATTATTATTAGTATTATTATTAATTTTATTATTATTATAACAAAGATAAGAGAGAACTGGTTAGCCACCTGTCGTAATGCAGGAACAAAGTGACAAACGAGTGAAAAATGAATCCTGATTGGAACGCAACTGTGAAAAGGTGTAATGAGGTAGTGGAAATAGCAAATAAATGAACAAATTCAGTCAAGTGAAGCGCGGTGTGGGATAGATAAAAGAAAGATCGACAGCAAGGTAACTGTCGGGACCTATGTTTCTGTTAGATAATACCCCTTGGTTGTCCATTCCGAGAGAGGGGGGAGTTGGTTGATGATACAAGCCCGTGGGGCAGTGAGGTAAATGGAGGTTGATTATGAGATTTTACTTGGTGCCTCTGAGTAAGCAATTTCCCCAACAAGTCCAGTCGAAGAGAGTGACCGTAAAAACGGGTGCGAAACAGCATAGAATCAGTAAAATGCAAACTTAATAGGGTTCACAATAGCTTGCGCATGCACTTAAATCGCAAGAAATGCCACGGTTGCTGTAAGCTTTAGAGCATTGTTCGATGGTTCGCTGGACTGTTGAGGACGAGGGTTAACAAGTGAGCACCACTGTCAGAGACAATTCCTGATTTTTGCGGCCGATGCCGACTGATCCAAATTTATGAACTAAACGGGTATCTGCTAATGGTGAATTTTGAAGAAAGGAGATCAATGGCAATCAAAGTTGTAATCTATCTAGTAAGTGGCTTTGAAGATAGCTTGTAGGTAGCATTCAGAGTGGCGCAACGGATCGCAGACAAACGTGAACGACCGCATAAATTTAACGTCCACTCTAGTTGCGCTGGGGGTGTTTCAAGCAGAACGAGTGCCCAGTGGAAACCAGGTAACTTAAGTGAGGACTAGCTTTTGAGTAAGACATCTTGGGATCCCGAAGTGGTTCTATTGTAAGGCTAGAAGCAGAACAATAGTTACGCAATGAGTGAACCAAAACGAAGGTAGGCGAATATATGTAGTGAGATAAAAATCAGCATCGATGAGATAAAAATGTATTCAGAAAGCGCGCAACAGGCGGAGAAGCGGAAAGGAAGCTTCATATAGCTGGTGCCAATATAAACCGCGAAATCGACATATGTAACTGATTGTTAGTATAGCAGGAAGAGCAGTGACAGCAATGCAGCTTAGGGAATATAAACCTACTTAGCAATGAACTGCACACGAGCGGCAACCAACAGGACTGTAGCCAACACAAGCCCCATTGTGGTGTGCAGAGCAGGGGCGAACTGGTTGCTCAACGTAGTCACAAGATGATCACGCACAAACTGGTAGTAGTGTTTGGAGGAATCCGTAGAATTGAGCACAGATGCCATCCTGGTGCGATCCACAGACACAGGGTCCACACCATCTACCGGGTAAGTAGCTGAGCTGTTCTCAGGAGCATTGCTTGGTTTCGTAGCAGAATCTGATGTACAGCAGCAAAAGGAACAGCTCGTGATGCACGCTTCGCCGGGTCGAGCAGATTGACAAACGCAGATCATCTTGTCTGCCACCTTGCTAGATGGGTAGCCAGTCCTTGTCGCTGCAGAAAAGGCACATGTAAAGTGTGGGGTTGGCCATGAACCAAGGAATCCAACAGTAGTTCTTGCACCAAGACCAGCAGAGAAAAGCATCAGACCAGCGGAGATGGGATTCAGTTCCAGTCCGAGAAGCATCATACCACAGAGTGCGGCGCAGAATCCGCCACCGGCTCCCACAACGAGAAGCAACAGGACGATAACTGGAGAGGCGAATAAAAGCAAGGCAGCCACAAAGACGATGGCGAAGAAAATACCTGTCGCCATCGCTGTCTCACGGATAAGGTAAAAGTAGTGCTCCGCAAAAGTGAAGAGCGCTCCGACGGGAAAGGAAGGCACACCCTGCGCAGTTGCCCCTTCGGTGAGTAGACGGACATTCTGTGGAAAGCATAAGGTGACGGAATGAGCAGTATGCGAAATCCGCGAACGTTATAGTGCACAAGCAATCGATAAAAGAGAGGGCCTTTCGTCTAAATTGGGGACGCTCAACTGCATATATATATATATATATATATATATATATATATATATATATATATATATACTTGACCAAGGTCCAATTGCAGAGTGACCCAACACAGGTGTAACCACAAAGGTGGGAGAAAAAGGTGTCATGTGAAGAGAGTATCACAAAGCGTTCGCCAATGGGTATGGTTCTCAGTCATATCCGAGAGCGTTTCGAACCAGGTGTGCTCACTGTCATCGGGCCCCAAACCCAGGAGTTTGGACCATCCCACACTGGCCAAATACAATGTCAGCGACATGACGCTTCGGAATCAGGTTGCACTGGCCACTTTACCGTCGCTTCCAATCAACGCCGGTGAATGCAAACAAAGTGAGGGGGGAGCAACCGATGACCAGAAATACGAAAAACGCGTTAAAACCAACGGAGCGCGCGTAAGGAAAGTATGCAGTTCAGTGGTCGGCTGAGACTGTCCTAATCGAAACTCCGACCCAGTGTCTCGTCATTACTAATGCGAAGCTGCCAACGTACGCCGGTGATGCTCCGGAGACAGTAGTGATCAAAAAAACAAACGGTCACTGGACATCGCGCATTCGAACAGGCCAGGTCTCGTAGCACGAGCACTGTTCGTGCCGTAGCGTTGTAGTCTCGAGCTTTTAATGAAAGGCTGAGATCACACCGACGCCAGACATGTCCGAGGTACTGTGGCTTTGGAGATCCGCAAACTGACCGAACCCATTAACACCGCACGTTAAAGTAACTCCCAAGGTAAATGAACTTGTCGATCACTTCCAAAGAGGAGCCAGAGGGGGTGAGGAAAGGAAAAGCTTTTAACCAGTCCTAGAGGAAAACACTGCACTTAAAAGGGCCAAAGGTTATTCTCAACTGTGACACAGATAACTTCAACCTGCGCAGCATGCGAGGGGCCACAGATTACGGTGACGCTGTTAACATAATCCACATCTCGGGGCCTGAGAGTAACTGGATGCCACTAGGCTCACAGTTTTCCAGAGTAATCTATAACGTGTCATCCATAACGAATTCAGATAAAAGGAGTGATGCGGAACAGGCCTGCTCACATTAGTGGTGATCCTAAAGGGGGCGAAAGTCCACTATACACCCAGACCAGGTCGGAAATTTGAGAGTAAATGGCTTGATGAATGTTAACATACTTCTCGGGCACTCCCCTTCCCAATAGACAACCCCAGAGAGCACCACGGTTAATTGAAACAAATGCAGTACGTATATCCAGAAGTCAAACGATGGCAGGCCGACTAAAAGGTCGGACAACCGGTGGATCGTAGACATGTGATCAATACAGCTCCGACCTGGGCGAAACCAAGCCTGATCTCGTGTGTGCACTCTTCGCGTACTCCACTGAGCTACCATAAAATTAGGGAAGCGTGCACTGTAGATGCAACACAAAGGAGGCTGATCCCTCAGTAGTTAGCTCAATCTGTTCAGTCACCTCTCAATGTGAGCTAAGCCCCTTTCAGATGGGATAATTTGTGTGGTCCAAATCTCTTGAAGGAAGATAGATAATTCAGAAAGGGGAAACTGGCATCCATCCCTGAAAAGTCGGAGGCAAGTTGTCGGGACCGTGAGATTTGTGACAATTTAGAAGAGGAAACTCATAGGCAACCCCAACCTTCAGTGGCGGAGAGGTGCTTACCTACAAAGGAACACTGTGGACACTTTAATGGAAACTCGAGAGCATTAGTGGTCAGCTGAACTGCTGTGCGAAGTGTTCTGACCAACGCAAAAACCGGCGTTGGGGATTGTGAATTGGCTCGCCGCTGGTTTCGCATACCACCACCGGTGGCAGTGGGTTGGATAATTGAGAAGAGTCTACAGAAGTTCCCTGGGGCAGCCTATTCCATGTCGATGACACGCTGCGGTCACCAGGTTTCGTGATATTCCTTTAGGATCTATTTGAGCTCGGGGTTGGTAGATACGTGCAATGAGTCTTACTGAACACCAGCATGAATCCTCCAATGGTCTTCCATAACTTGGATAGGTCGAGCAGAGCCTGTTGTTTAGTTTACATGACCACCGTGGGAAGAAATAAAAGTACGGCTACACAATCAAAAATGACAAGCGTCAGTAAAAAGTGGCAAAATGAAAAATGAATAAAACATGTACCAGTCCATAAGCCAGTTCGCTGAAGTGTGGCATGCGGTGGGGTATGGTTGAAATAACGCATCACAGAGTATAAACCAGTGGCTAAAAATAGATCACATAGCTAACCTGAACAAGTTCCAGCTGAGCAGGCATACTCTGGATACCAACTGCGTAATAATTTGTTTGTATAAATTCGATGGGCTCAGCCGGAGGAAGGGCGTGTAAATCACTTGGGCGCCCTGAAGAAGGCTGAGAACGCAAATGATTCAGCTGAACTGGACTGGGCTCTGGATGAATCACGCACGCCAGTGAAGAGAAGTTCAAGGCATCGTGAGTTCGCCACATGCGGAGAAGCACGTAGAAAGCAGGCGGATCAACGATTCCCGCGTGAACCAATCGGCCCGTGTTAATCTGAAACCGTTATGAATGAACATAGTAGATTAGTTTTTTAGTGGCGAATGAAGCCGAATCGCTTTCACCAGAGTCGGTGCAGATCCCACGTACCTGTTAGCCGATAGGAGTGCCATTTCAAGGTAAGGTGTGTAAGTGGACTTAGTTTGTGGTGATCAACTTTAGGGGACCAGGTCCAGCTAGACTTAACTTAGAGAGCAAACTTAGAGTAACATTTCTATGATATGCAACTCAGAGAGCCATAAAGAGGGTGATCAACTGAACAGAATGGTCAAATTAAGTAGGACACTACTCTAGCCAATTAATCGGAGGTATGACGACATTCAAGAATTTGGACATGCGTAAAGGTGTGTAACTATGCACCCTATATCGGGGCGCAAGCCATCCCAGTTCTTATCGAATGAATTAACCCGAAGCCGAAGTACAGAGACCAAACAACAAAACCAACGAATGCATTTTGAGAGTCCAGTTTTGGGCAGACTGATACCACGTTTAAAAATGAGTAAAGACGCTATGCGTTTAAACAAAGACGATTAAATAAAAGGAGGGGCTTGCGAGGGAAGTGGAGAGCAGTGCATGAAAAAAGGAGAAACACCAGATTAGAGGAATCCCTCCAAAATGTTAGAACTCACACGGCTGAGCTCGGGACCGCGGTCCGTTTGAACGATTAGTCGTAAACCCAAAACACCAAGTTCGCTAGCATTCACACTCCAGTAACCGGCAGAAGAGATAAGCCCTCGTTGACGGTCTGAGTCAAAGGCATCTTGAACACGCTGAAGCCAATCGCGCATTGTCTCAAGCCAATAACCGCGGCCAGCCAGAGTGACACGTGGCAGCTTCGATAGACGCATGTATAGCTGATGTAGCTGACGTTGCCGAACCGGGAAATCGATCCCACGACCAACGTCTGCAAAAACAGATCGTGTTCTAGGCTTCATATTCAGTAAATTAGTGGATGATAGGCTGGGAGCAGGGGCTGAGGGAATAGCCTTTCCGAGACCAGATCTACTGGGGACCGGACGATCACCAGGCAGATCAGTTCCTCTGGCTATAATTTGAAAGTAGCGTAACCCGAATGCCTGTTCGGAGTGTTTCACAAAGCCGTACTCGATTGCATCCACCGGGATTAGCTTAGACCAATCGAGGCCCAAGTGTAGCCCGTATTGGGACAACAAAGCAGCCGAAATAAACGGTGCGACACCAATAATACATATGAACAACTGAATTGACCAATGGTAAGTGAGGAACAGCGCCATACGATGGGCAAAGCGGACGAGCAAAGGCTTCGGTTGATTACACTCCTCATCAGCGACGCGAGGCTGACATCGATCGAAGGAAGTGAGGTGCCGGTACCAATGGGGATGGTGGTGTGGGTCGTGATAACAACACCCACTCGAGATGTGGGAAGGATAGAACTAAGAGAAAAGATGGGACAAGAAAGGAAAGGCACGGTTTGAATGCACTGCAGCAGAAAGTCGGTGACTGGAATGCAGTCTTAGACAGCACTAACCTTAGGAGTATGTGATCGGTTGCGCTGTCTTGAAGGGTCGAACGTCGTCGAAGGCGGACCGCCACGCTTAAGACCTTGTGTGGGTCCAGAGACAGTCACCGTTGTGTGCACAGTGTGACCGCCGGATGGAGAACCCAAACCGGAGGGACGGGACAAATAAGAGCCTGGTTTGTTTGAACGTGTATCATCAGCGACACGATTGATGACGCTAACCTGAATGGAAGAACACGGGTATGTTCCAGTTGATGAGGTAATTGTCTCATTGTGAACCGATCCTCTGCGGCTTTCTGTACTGTTACTGTCCAATGTAGTTGAGCATTCCATGTAGGGATCCTTCCTGGAATAAGGCAGATTCTCCTCTTCGAAGTCGGCATCATGGCTGTGCGTTCCACGGCGGACTGGTGTGGAATCAGTGTGAGGTTGCTGCAGACAACAGAGCACATCCAGCCGGCCGGCAGATCGGCGAGCCAAATCCAACTTTAGCAGTCCAGGAAGTAGAAAGAGTAAGCAGACGGAGTGGACAAGAACCAACGTTCCACCCTGAGGGGATTAGAGAGGGGGTAATGAGCGGTGAACGCATTGCGCGTGAAGCATTCTGTCGACCATTGAAACGCAGTACGCACACAATCAATAACTGAGACAAGCGGTCAAGCAGCGGCAGCAACGAGATAAACCACACGAGTAAACAATCACCGGTCGGTGAAAGTCATCATCACGCCAGCGAGGTTAACACAAACTACAGACATGAGTACGGGGACTGAAGTTGCGGCAAAGTTGTTTGAACTACTTGCTACGGCGCCAACTGTAGACAGACCACCCGCAACCATGACAGATCATGCGACGTGTGTGGTTATCGGAACAGACATTATCGGCGTACCATCGGACGCGAGTGACAACGACAGCTAGGTCAGAGAGCTGCCGAGGTAAAGACATAGGGGACAGACGATCACTCTTCAGACAAAATGCGTGATTAGGCAAGATAAGCAGATCTAAAGGAGAATATAGACATGGATAATTTCAGTTGTGGGGTAGATAAGTTTTCATTATTATCGTAGAGTTGGATATAAGAGAGACGCAATTTCATGAGTATCACAAACGCCCTCATCTGCAGCATCAACAAGTAGAACGCACTGACGGTTGCTGTCAGACAACAACAACGTAGAAGATATGATCTTGACGATAGTGAGTAAAAAAGTTTGCAGTGGACCTAATGTTGAGCCTAAAGAAGTCATATATATATATATATATATATATATATATATATATATATATATATATATATATCAGATGATCAATCAAGGGACCGACAAAAGGTGGTCTACTTGTACAGGTGGCCGCCGCAGACAGGTTCATGCGTAGGGACATTACTCATAGGAGGAAACGTTGGGGGTCTTTGGCTGGTCACCATAAACAGGTAGTCGCCATAGTAGGTTGGACTGTATTTATATATTCATAACCAGAGTAAAGACAATGTGTCACCAGAGCCATGGCAAAAATGGGGGAAACAAAATGCGAGAAACAGAAGAAAACGATTTAGTGGGTTTTGCACACGTCATTTTGAATTTTTACGTTTGATTAGATATTAATTAATAGAGGACACGGTTGAACAACGCTGTCGTCACTGATATCAGTCGCGCACCATAACATCCAACGTTTCCAACCATTGGGAGTAGGACTCACGCGGTCTCCATCCTGGAAACTGGACCGGAACAACGGAAGCTAAGCTTGAGGTTAGCTTCATTATGCTCCTTCATCACGTCATCCGTTGTTCACCGCGGAGCTTTTTCCAATCACTTCTGGAGAGCGCAAATAACGCTCCACGGGGAAGGCGATAGGCTGGAATGCGCAATAAGTGGCCGAGCCAATGGATGTGGTATCGGAGAATAACGGTTTGGAGGTATGGGCTGTTTGCTCCAAACATTCGGTCTCGGAGTTCTGTGGTGCTCACGCGAGTAATCCTACGCAGACGATTGTCGAAAACTGACAATCGTTTTATGTTTTCCGAGCGAGTCGACCAGGTCTCAACAGTACAAGAGGATGGCACGGACACCGTTTTTGAGTTTGAGACTGAGGTCGCGCCGGCGTCATAAGTATCTCAGTCTGATGAATACAAGGCCTTTGCGATCTGTTGTGAGACCGCATCTTCAACACTGCCGCCAGCTGTGATGCAACTCCCTAGATAAGTGGAGCACGAGACTTGTTAAAGGATATCACCGGTAAAGGTGAGAGCGGGCACAGGCATTTACAATCCTGGGGCAGTATACAGCACATGCTTGGGGTGAAATACGAGCCACCATCGCTAAGCAGTTCAAAGTGCTCTGGACAGCTTGTCGATCGTCCTCAAGCAAAGCGATATAATCGGCTTAGCCCAAAACCGTAACTCCGTCAATTGGAAGAAGCTCAATACTGTAGTCTTGGATACCTACCAATACTCGTTGGACGATATCTTCAACAACAAAATTGATGAGGAATGGTGAAACAGGGCCACCTTGGCTGGTGACAACAAACGAAGAGGAAAGCCTGACATAAGCCTTGACTTTGCCCGATGTGTGACTGTAAAGTGCCTTCAGAATGGTCACACCTATTCGGGCGCAAGAAAAGTGTGCCCGACAAATCGCTCGGATATTCAGGAATGCTACGATTGCTGTCCGTCGGTGGGAGTGACGGAGTCTGGCCTGTTCAGGTGGGAGGCTGGCTTGCCGAACTACCTCCTCATGGTGCTAACTGGGTAGTTCGGGTGTCCCCCGTTCCAGCAAACTGTTTAGCGATAGTGTTCCACCTCGGTGGGGCAATGTAGTCCAGCAAGTGTGCTGATTTCATGGGGTGTATTGGGCCCCTGTTTGGTGATCTACCTAACAAAAGACTTATGGACAGAACATTCAGTCAGCGACTCCCAATGGGCGCGATTCCCTGAATTCGCTCCGCTGCCTTGCGGGTAGGTTATTTAGCCAAAGGCTCGAGGTGGGGTCCCGTAAGTCAACTCCCTACTTCGGCTTGGGCAATCGGGTAGTATCACGCCCTCTCAAAAAACTGTGGACTGTACTACGTGCTCATCAGCTACAGTTTCTGCTTCTTACATTCACGCGACTTCATCACACGCCAAGTGTTTGTTGCTAACAATCCTCACATTCCGTTACCGATTTATGTGTTCAAAAATCTGACTGCGATTCCGGTTACGCCGCGAACCACGGAGTTCAACCTATGGCTCTCCTCCTTCCCCGATCCTCGTTCCGTCTGGCGTACTTCAATGTTCGGACACTCTTGCAGATTGGACAGCAAGCCGGCCTAGGCTGCACCCTAGAGTCCCTGGATATTGATGTCTGCTACTTTCAGAAATCCGATTGCAAGACCCCAGCACTGTGCTCACATTGACATCAACTAGTGACTAAGAAGCCAGATATCACCTGCGTCTTTCTGGAGAATCAGAAGCAGCCTCAGCGGGTGTGGCTGGTGTAGGTACAGCACTAAGTGGCAACGCCCAGGCGGCACTACTGGACTAGTTCCCGATTAACAGCCGACGATGTGCAGTTCGGATTCGGGGTTCATGCAGAATCAACAAGCGACGAGAGGAGAAAAGCAACTTGTTTGTGATCTCCGCGTACACTCCAAATGACTGTAGTGGTGGCTCCGTCAACGACCACTTCTGTCGGGATCTACATCAGCTCTTGACTAATGCTAAAAAGTAGGATGTCGTTGTTCATTGCTGGGAATTGTAATGCACGGGTTGGCCGCTTGTTACTATACAAACGCCACCTTGGTGGTCACCACGCGCTCGTTGAGAACCTCTCTGGTAACGCAGAGAGGCTTCTCATATTGTGCGAAGACAACCGTCTTTTTCTCTCGAGCACTAACTTCAGGCGTACGAAGAAGCGTTCCGCTACTTGGCGTCCCCTTTCGCCAACACAACCGTGGTCTCAAATTGATCACCTTGCAATCAGCTTCAGATGGTGTGGCAACGTACTGGACTGCAGGTCCTTTTCGTCCACCTTCGTTGATTCACACCATGCATTACTCTGCTCGAAAATCTACATGTGTTTTGGGGGAAGGTTGCCGAAACACGAAGCGCCGCAAGATTGACGTAAACAAATTAACCGATTCCTCTGTCTAAGCGAGCTATCAGTCTTCACTGGCATACGCACTCAGTTGCAATCCACCGCGAGACATAGAGCAACACTGGACTTCTATACAGAAAGCGATGATAATTTCCGGTCAGTCAAGCTGCAGTCTAGCTCGAGACCGCTTAAAGGTTTGGCTCTCTGCTTGTTCTCTGGAGCTGTTAGAACGCCGCAAAGATATCCCGCCGGAATCAGATTGCAACGAGCGGCGCCGTTCTTCCAACCGGCTGCGCAAGCAAAGTTTACGCAAGGATCACAGGTCACGGTGGTCTGAGCGTGCTTTAGAGATGGAGACCGCTGCTCTCTCTGGCAACACTCGCAAGTTTTTCCAACTCATTCGGTCCACTGCCTCCAGGAAGCCTGGTGTCAGTGAGGTTATTCGTGGGGTGGATGAGTCACCGATCACCAACCAGCAGAGGGGTATGGAACGCTGGGTCGAGCATTTCACTCGCAATGCAACTGGCCTCCACCGTCCATCAGTACACCCAGTTGTTCACCCTGACTCGTCCCACTGAATCCACCCAGCAAAGCGGAAGTCTGCCTCGAGATTCGACGCTTGAAGCGGCTCAAGGCTGCTGGATCAGACGGACTTTACCGGAGCTGTTCATATACGACGGCGCGGAGATCATTAAACCGCTGACCTCGCTGTTCGAAAAAACCTGGCATGAAGAGAAAGTGCCTTTCTCTTGGGGCGAATCATTTATTGAACCAACACTTTGAAGAAATGCGCAAGCATTTCATGTGTAAAGCATCGCGAGACCAGTCTTATTTCGGTTGCCTCCAAGCTACTGGCATCCATTCTGCCCCGTATACTATCCCCAATAAGCGAATCATCTTACCGTGAAGAACAAGCCGGGTTGCATCCCGGCCTCGGTAGCGTGGCTCAAATCTTCACGCTGTGCCAACTCCTCGAACATCGCCACCTATATCACAGGCCCACAATCGTTGCATTCCCAGACATACGTGCCGTTTTCGACTCCGTTGATACACCTGCATTATGGTGTTGCTCACTAAAGAACGGAGTGCCAGAGAAGTATGCCGCCATCTCACGAGCACTTTACCTTCATACCTCCGACAGAGTGAGGGTCTACAGCAAGCTTTCCTCGCCATTCGTCAACCATAAAGGTGTGAAACAGGACTGCGCTATGTCCCCATTCCTCTTTAACTTCGCAATCGAAGACGTTCTGTCGAGTGCTCTAGAAAATATCCAACATGTTGGCCTAAAGCTCCTACCGGGTGAGCGCGCGACCGACTTAGTTTATGCTGATGATATGATGGGCTGAGGAAGCTCTTGTGTCAAGGGCGAAACGTTGCCACAATAAAACCCTACCAAAACCGATTTGTATTCAAAACCTTTTGAAATCCTGATGATATCGCCTTACTTGGCAACGACCCCCAAGGGATGCAACTTATTCTGGATCGCTT